GTCCTTACTGGACACACCAGCGCTCCGCGTTCCCGACAAAGATGTTCCAGATGATGATGCAACACCGAGAAGGCCTGTGGAACTAGCTCCGTGATCTCTTGCACCGGATGTACTAGGTAAGGAACCTTCTCCGCCAGCAGCTTTTTCAAAAAGGCTTAGGTTGTGCTTAGTGCAGTATGTTATAACCGGTGTTTGGCCATTTATCTCGATTTTTGACAGCTTTTCCATTGCAGTACGAACAGATTGTTCCGAGCCGAACACGATAACGCAAAATCCCTTCGACTGCCCATTCTGACGATTTTCATGAAACTTAATTTCCAAAATATCTGTTATCCCTAGGTTATTGAACGCAGTATACAGGTCAACATCGGTCGTCCACTATGACACAAATTAGTTAAGCAATATGTTTTACCCATGTAAGATTCCCCACATAAGTTGCGATTCTCCTTCCCGTATGTGTGGCACTAGGGGTAGCCAAATTTGGCTTGATCTTAAGGATTTAAGGCAAAGGAACACAACTTACGTCGTTATGGCTAGTCGTGTCGGATGAAGGTGGTGCGATAACATCGTCATACAGTTCTGTAAGCTCGGAAGAATCCTAGAGGTTTAAACAATCGAAATTCCATTTACCTGAACGAAATCCTCCTCGATATTGTCATAGAGATCGATCTCGGCCCCATTATCAGCAGCCATCCTCCAACAGGCTGATTCAAACAAATAATTCGAGCTAAGCGCCAAATGAATAAACAACTTAAAGTCCCTGTGGGACAGTGCAACAGGCTGGCCGTCTCATTTCTTAGGACTTCCAATAGAAGAAGGTTTGTTACTCATTGACTGATCGTCGAATTAAGGATGGTTCTGGGATTTGATGTTAGCTCGTTTGTTCTCGTCAGAATTACTTTCTATCCAGTCATTTGCCATATGCAGCACTCCAAGAACGTAATATGGGCAAGGATGATATATAACATGTAAAACAGAGTAAATCTAGAACGGAGAGAGGGAAAGCTAACCACAGGAATATCGAATAGAACGTAAAAGTTGACGAATAATACGAAAATGGGTTAAATCCTGTGCCATGGGAGGAAGGTTTTCCACCGATTCCACATTCTCAATGACGATGTCACCTGAAAAACAATACAAAATCTCTTCAATCATTCAGTTCCGTGGGCCGTCTTGTTAATTCAGGAAGCCCAAATTCAATTTTGGCGCTTTTACATGCCCCCTCTTCAGCTTGACCGTGAGGGGATAATAGGCAGTGTGGGATCTGGGGCGAAGGTAGTCGGCCCCGGTACAGCTTAAGTTTATCAGAATGGGTGGAGGACGTTAGGACATCCGGTACGGATGCGTCACGGAGTAGTGATATGGTGGACATCCACGACACCAGATGGGCCTTCCCAAGAATGGCAGCACTTGAATTACGTAAATGTCGGACAG